TTGGTCCCGTTCCTGTGAAGCGTCACGCTTACCTCCTCCCCATGCCGCCACTGCTAGACTGTCGGCGGCCATGGCTTTTGTCTTTCCCCTGTTGAGCACTCTCCGGAGACCATCTCCATAACTCGCCACTGCTGGGCTGCCGGCAACCATGGCTTTTGTGCTTTCCCCTGTTGAGCGCTCCCCGGAGACCACCTCCATAACTTCGTTCAGAAAATCGTTTGGCAGATTTTGAATGCAGATTTGAAATCAGCATCAAAAAATAACTTCGTTCAGAGAATCGTTTGGCAGATTTTGAATGCAGATTTGAAAACACGCTCAGACAATCGCTTGCAGATTTTGAATGCAGATTTGATAACTTCGGCCACTGCTGGGCTGCCGGCAACCATGGCTTTTGTGCTTTCCCCTGTTGAGCGCTCCCCGGAGACCACCTCCATAACTTCGTTCAGAGAATCGCTTGCAGATTTTGAATGCAGATTTGAAAACAACTTCGGCCACTGCTGGGCTGCCGGCAACCATGGCTTTTGTGCTTTCCCCTGTTGAGCGCTCCCCGGAGACCACCTCCATAACTTCGTTCAGAAAATCGTTTGGCAGATTTTGAATGCAGATTTGAAATCAGCATCAAAAAATACCCCCAGCAGAGATTTTGAATGCAGATTTGAAATCAGCATCAAAAAATACGCGTAGCAGGATAGGTCCCAGGTTTCAAATGGCCACTGCGACTTGGGATCCTTCCCTTGTGAGTATAAACGTAGTCGAACTGGCTTCTTCATTACTCAGTTGCTATTTCAATCGATTTCAGATCCTGTGTACTGGTGCACGAGAACTGGCTGACGGTTATCCAATAATCGAAGATCTTCAATTTGTTGGTGACTCCAGGGGTGATTAGTGGAGAAAACAAGTATCATTCTCAACGCCGTTATCTGCTTTCAGCCAGCAAAGACGTCGTTCTGCCCCGAATACAACCACGTCACGACATTGTTTACTTGCCGTTCTCGAGTGGAATTCATGGCAAACGTAAAGGCATCCTTACCACCCATTACGTAATGAATGCTAAAACTATGATCTCTTTTAAGTATGTTTGTATGAAGTACATTTGCACGGAGTAACAATCTCATTTTTCTGCTGCTTTTCAGCTCTAACTCCTATATTCATCCTGAACATGGTGAATATACGGTAGCTATGTTGCCTTTTCATCGGCAACTCGGTCTCGAAACAATATTTATTTCATTATTGGCTGGAGCTACGGTAGTTACCGTATCCAACTTCTGTGTACATACACTTATGACATGTATAGACAGGTTCAAGGTGTGTTTCCTGAACTATTTGGTTTCTGGGTTATACTAAGCGCGCCAATGGGAATGTGGGCGGGACTTCCTGAGCTCCACTTACGTTTTGTGACACACACACACACCATTGACTACGAAGACTGTTCTAAGCCGCACTATAAAATCTGACGTCTATGAAAAGGACTCATTCTTTGACTCGAGTCAAAGGCGTGGCGCAATCACGAAATTCTGGAATTCTTGCTACATTTATTTCCTTATTTACATTTTTCACTTTACCAGATCTCTGGTGTAAACACATCCACTATAACTCTTCTTTTATCCTTAACCAAACAGGTTTTTGTCATTAATTATCGCTAGATTTTTTTCATTCAGACACACATCTTAAAATTACAAAAAAAAAAACTGATTTGAGAGTAAATACTAGTCAACAAAGCTTCATTTCTGCTAAACTCCATTTTAGGTAAGAACCCTTTATCTCAGCCCTATGATAATGTCAATGATGATCAATGAAGCTGAAAATCACGAATACTCATTGGAAGACTTACGAACGGTCATTAATGGTAGCGCGGCTGTTTCCAAAGACCTGTTCGATGATTTCCGAGAAACGTTTCCGTTTGTCAGGAATATTATCTCAAGTGGGTTCAGCTGAAAGGTTTTTTTTAGAAGACACCATGCATATGTGAAGAACACTTGTGAATATTTGTAACTGTTATCGTAATTT